TCTGCAGACGACTTTGTTGCAACTGGGTATTGTAAGTGGTAGAGTGGCCTTGCTGCTACGATCCACTGAGATTCATCCCGTGTTGCTATAAGATTTGTATAAAAATATTAATTAAGACTCCTAAGGAGTCCTAATTAATACTCTCCCCTTTCCTTCTTTAAAGGAACCTGCTCCAGGGAGGGCTTTTATCATACAAAAATGGCCCACATCCAATGGAGGGCCACATCCAATCTTTTCTCACTCTCTTCCAAGTGGTGTAGCCACAGAGAACATACAAAAACACTATATTTTGGTTNTGCTGTGGCGGCCAGTTCAACTCTGGCATGGAAGAATCATTGCTACCGCTCACTATAATATACCTCTACTACTATTTATTATTATAGGGTAGTAGTAGTACCAGTACTACTAAATACTACTACTCGTAGTAGTAGCAGCACATACAATAAATCGCTCCAGGGATAGGATTCGTGAAACAATTTTTTTCAAAATTCTCGCCAGTCCAGAAATGCACTCCAGGGAGGGAAGATCATGAAAAATACCCGCAGTTTAAGTTACAACGACTCCTATAGTATATACTAGGAGCATGTGTGCTGTCAGTAAGCCAAGAGACTGCTGATGCTTTGCTGATTGGGGATTGCTCTGCTTTTGCTTTCTAGTAGTAGTGGTCTTAGTAGTCTTTGTAGTAGTCTTAGTAGTCTTAGTAGTAGTCTTAGTAGTTAGTCTTAGTCTTAGTAGTAGTCTTAGTCTTAGTAGTAGTCTTAGTCTTAGTAGTAGTCTTAGTCTTAGTAGTTTTAGTCTTAGTAGTCTTAGTCTTAGTAGTTTAGTCTTAGTCTTAGTAGTAGTCTTAGTCTTAGTCTTAGTCTTAGTCTTAGTCTTAGTTGTCTTAGTCTTAGTAGTCCTAGTCTTAGGTAGTCTTAGTCTTAGTAGTCTTAGTCTTAGTAGTAGTAGTCTTAGTCTTAGTCTTAGTAGTTTTAGTCTTAGTAGTAGTCTTAGTCTTAGTAGTCTTAGTCTTAGTAGTCTTAGTCTTAGTAGTCTTAGTCTTAGTAGTTGTCTTAGCAGTAGTCTTAGTCTTAGTAGTAGTAGTCTTAGTAGTAGTAGTC